TTCAAACTTTGCTGTTCAAGTAGTGGACATTTGAAGCTTGGAGTCATTCAACAATCTAAGTATCTCTGTACTTAACAAACTGCATCACCAAGGCTGGAGCTATGCAAATTCTATGCAGAGCTGTGTTTCATGAAGGGGATTGCATGGCTTGCTAAGAACTTAAATATAGTGTTTAAGGTGGGAACCCTTGTGAGGTGGGAGCCCTAATGTGGTGATTGTTAAATCTTGCAATCCTGCTAGGTTAAAAGCGAACCCACCCTATAGCCAGTAAGGGGGTTATTCTTACCATCCAGACAAAACAGCCAGAAAAGATGTCATGGAGTTAGGAAACCGAATACGTTAGGGCAGAGACCTTATTGGCAGAGTGATGAGCAGCCAGGCTCTTGTCTGGGGAGCTAGGTTGGTCTACTCGGTGTGCTCGAGTTGAGCCCTTTCAGTGCAGAGCTTTGGTGGCAGAGTAGGGATCCTTTGAGCACTTAGTGGTAGAGTTGAAAGAGGTTTGTAACACTCTCCTGAACCGGTAATAGGCTGAGGGGCCAAGGAGCTGGGTCATCCTGCAGATATGGCTGAGGGAAGGCTTTCTTGATTAAAGAACTAGATCCTGAGTGTTTCTGATCCTGAATTTTAACCTATGGATTCCTTAAAAAACTCCATAACTTAGTATTGTATGTGAGTTCTGTGTGGCCATTGCAAGTAATTATTAAAACTAAGAGTGCTGTATGAAGAATTTTAAAAATATGAAAAATTGTAAATTAAAATTCATGAAAAATTTCCATAAAAATTTGAAGACCCCTAGTAGAGTGTGTTGTGGGGGAAATGGGCTGGCAAGCTGGTAAGAAAAATGTTGACGGTTACAAGCCTCAGAAATCATCCTCGGGTGATGCGTAAGGTGGTTCTCTCTTTTCCCCACATGAGGTTAGAAGAAGTGAGAAACAATTCCCAGGTCACTGTTGCAGTCACAGTGACATTGAAGTGGAAATTTCCACTTCAATGAGGCAAACTATAAGGTTTTAGAGTAAATGGATAAGAGGCAAACTATAAGGTTTATAAGTAATGGATAAGAGGCAAACTATAAGGTTTTAGAGTAAATGGATAAGAGGCAAACTATAAGGTTTAGAGTAAATGGAAAAGAGGCAAACTATAAGGTTTTAGAGTAAATGGATATAGTAGGCAGATATAAAACTGTTAGAAATGTTGATACGAAATAAAAAATAATCACCATTTTATTTAATGAACTATTTAGCAGGCCTCTTGCTGATACAATAACTTTAATTATTTGTTTTATATTTTTCAGAAATTACAGGCTAGATTGATAGATTTTTTTTCCAGTTTGCTTCCCAGTTCTTCTTTTAATATTGTTCCTTCTACCCGAATCTATAATTCAAGAGGGCTATTTAAATGACCTGCAATTAGGGATTTCTTACCATCTGGCCTCCATTGGTTTGGGCAAAGGGGTAACTGAAATAGGAAATCAGAGAGCAGAAGATATGATAAGAGGTATTTCTCAGTACTTCCCTTATCAGTGGTTTGGCAGGGAATGAATTCCTTTACCCAAGACACAGCTCTTCCTGAGCAGCACCTCTTCTCCAATTCCAATTCTTGCTAGGCTTTTTCACCCTGACTCTTAAAAGTAGCAACCACATGCACAACCACTCTGATTATTTCTTTTACCCTTTCCAACCCTGTGTGCATGGCACTCAAGTTCACTCTCCTCATTTGTATCATTGTCAAGACAGTTTCTTGTGTTTTGAGCACAGTGAAGTCTTTGTAACTTCCACCCATTAATGGAGTGGGAGCACGTAATAAGTTGTCTTGACTCTAACTCAGGAATTGAGCAATTTCGTCATTCTGTGCACACAAGTGAACCATTTCAGAAGCAGAAACAGGAATCTTATGGAAGATGAGCTACCAGTGCAGCACATGCAAGATCCCTGTCTAAAGTGGCAGAAGCGCATAAGCACACAAGGCCGCAGCACCAGGAGGATCCTGACACTGAGCACAAGAGCAGTTCTAACACCATGAGACAGAGTAGAGAAGCTGTGCTGAAACCATGAGGCAGGACACAGATGGAATGTCAACTCCATGATACATTACCAAACAGAGGTCAAGGAAATCAGGTGACTAAGAGGCCAAAGACCACAGAAAGACACGCAGGCCAGCATGGCTTAGAAATGATGTTTCGATCTAAAGAACTATGTCATTATCATTTTGTAATCTATTAACTTCCCCATAAGCCCCATGTGTATTTTCTGAGTTCTATGTCACCATGGCAACTACTAATGATCAAACCCAGCCTATAGTGTGCGGTGGGGAGGATGGTTTGTGTCAAATGTCAAAGAAAGATGAAGGGTGGAGGGGAGTATGATTTTTGCCTTGTGGCAATTGGCCTGGGGCTAGCGTGGAGTTAAATTTTACACTTCCTTTATGGAGCCAGAGGAGGTCAGAGGTAGTCCCCACATCATTTATTCCTGCGGCATAATGCTATTTCACAACTATAGAAATTTGATGACACACATGCACATGCTTAACTTTCTATTGTTATAAATGCCTTGAATATATTCTGACTCCTAGAAACCGCAACACAGGTGCTGCATAGTAAAGCTGCTCTGTAAGGATATTTTGGCTATAATTTTAATATAGAAAATCAAAAGGCATTTTTTCCATTAAGTAGATTTGAATTACCAATTATTAAGTTAGCAGTTGAATGCAAAATATTTTCATCACTTAAGACTTTATATATCATTTTCTATCATTTGAAAATAAATTAGATGACAGGGCCTCAAAACCTAATGCTTTTAAGTTGTTATTATTTTAAATGAATAATTCCCATTTTCTAAGAGCTTTATATTAAATCTTATATGTGATATAGTCTGAAATCATATAGAACATATCACAGAGCAAATGTGGTAAAAGTAACTTATTATTGGAACTATTTTCCATTATAAATTCTAGAATTTTTAAACTTAACATCCTGACAGCAATAGCTGTGGTACATACTATGTAGAGTTTATATTCTATTTGTAGTTTTGAATATGGTCTGTAAAATTTACTTCATTAAATTGTGTATTACAGAGTGACATGGGGAAAGAGAAAAACTGTGGGGGAAATCAATAGAATATGTATTTGCACTAGAGTGCAGAGTATTATGCAGTAGGAGTTGATTTCCTTGTTACCAGAACTCTGAGGAGAAAATGGAGTGCGAAATAAGTTAACTCAAGAAGATAAAAAGCTAATGTCATCATTTTTCTACATATCTGAATTATCACTGATGAGAAACTCCTAATTAGCATTTTGACCTTTAAGCAGATAATTCAGTGAAACTTTCATTAGTAGTAGATCAAGAAGAAACTGCAAATTAAAATGCAATTTTCTGATTTGTTACAAAGCCTGCTTACTGAGTTCAATAATATCCAAGTATAATTATAGAATTTTTATTGCCAAAGCTTATAGTAGACATGCTTATAATAGAACTATTCAAAAGTATTCTGCAACTTGATGTATAAATTAAAAAGTTTAAGCGTCTATATCTTCTTACCTTTTTCAAACGACTTACATAATTAGTTTAGAATTGTTTAAAATGAGTGGAAGTAAAATTTTATAAAAATTTGCTTCTATTTCTTTCAATTTTCGGCAATATTTTTCCTGTCCTATGAGATATTATTACTGATTTCAACATGAACTAATTTTGAAAAAGTAGTGAATATATTTTCCCATTGAAAATAATTTTCACTCATCTTCCAAGGAGTAGTAAGCAAAAAAATAAGTGGGTTGGCTTAATGCTTTTTTTTTCTGATAGGGATATTCAAGTAACCAATTTTATATTTGATTAATCCTTCAGTCTTATTTTGCTTTACTGCATAAACTAATTTTCACAATGCCAGGTCCAGAGTATCATTGTTTATCTTTAGTAGCCCATTTGGAGCCAGTAATATATATCCTTCTTTTTGCAGATTGATTTCTTGTCTCTGTATTTATTAAAGTGCTACTCATGATGGAAAACTCTGAAGCATGATTCTGGCCCTCAGGACAATCCCAGTGACTACTTGTTGAGATTGGTTATTGCTTGCCAGTCCTGTCCCTTTAAAGGCCTAAGACTTTTTCCCTGTCTTAGTTAAGGTCATTAAACTACATTCAATAAGAATTACACTATGCATGATAGCATTGGGGGTTGGAGCAGCATATTAGAAAACTAGGAATATTTTGGCCATCCATATACACGTTCAATTTACACAAATTTACTAGAATAAAAAAATTTAATGTAAAATCCATTAAACATCACAAACACAAATATTGTAACATATTCTAATACTAAATAATTAAAAGAAACCATATTGTCAAATCAATTGTCATCAAATAAGGGAAGTCAATGACCTGTGCATAGTGTAAAGACACTGAATATTTTGGAACAACCACACTGACTTGTAGACATTGTACATGTTTCAATTGTTTCAAAATAAAATATTTCAAGCTTTAAATGTATTTGTGAATATTAATATTGATTAAATAATTTGTTGTGTTTTAAAATGTAGAACTTTTGGTTAGTATTTTCTACATTTCTAAGAATGAAATAAGCAGTCACGATCTAGATTTCAGTCTTTTTATTTTATTTTTTTTACGTTTTAAGAATCTTTAATTTATAAACTGCATTTCACATTTCCATAAGAATGTTCTGGGCTCTCGCCTGGAGCCCTGGTGGTGGTGCAGCGATTAAGCGACAGCTGCTGAAAGGTCTGCAGCAGGAGGCGGGAAAAAGCTGTGGCAGTGTGCCCTCGTTGGACACGTGTTGGGGAGATCTCCTGTGTCCTGGGGTCACTGTGGGTGGGATTTGATGACAGTGCAGCCCTACGCGTCTACAAGCCTGACGAGCAGACAGTGGGCTCGGCCCATCCCTGGCCTCCTCCTCGGGCCACTGACCACGAGGCTGCGGGCAGCTCATGGGCAGGGAATCGGGTGTCACAGTCACCTAGGTCAACACAGGCTCAGGTCCACTCCTCAGGCAGCTAGGAAGGGGGATGGTCCTCCCCTCGGGTGCTCCGATACATGGCCATGTCTTCTGAGAACACGTTGGGAAGTTCTTGAATCAACAGAATTTTACATTTCTTCATGGTGTCCATCTTGCCTTTCACCTGCTCGTTCTTGGCCAGCGCCCCCTCCAGGCACTCCTTGGTGTAGAGCTGGGGGTTCCGACCTTGATCAATGTACTCAAACACTTCTAGCGGCACCATAATGTCACAAAGCTGCTGTCTACACTTATCGATGTCCTGTAAGCCAGTGATGATAAAATTCAGTTTCTGGTTGAGCCCAGCCTGGCTGCTGGGCTGGAAGTCGCTGACCATGACGCCGAGCTGCCGGATGTTCTCCACGAACTTCTCCAGGTGCTCCGCCAGGTGATCGAACTTCTCCGCCATGGCTGCACGCCGCCGGCCAGCTCCCGCAGCCCAGGGCCTGCCTGGATTTCAGTATTTTGTGTGAGATGGGCACAGGTATTAAACATAATTTGAGAGTTTTGAGATGATTAAGTATCCTTAAAAAATATCTATGCTGTGTTATTATACGGAGGTATATCAATGGACCCAGTGATTCTTTTCAATGGAATCAGACTGATTCATCAAGAGTTCTCTGAATCAGAACATAGGTGAGTGTGAGCAGGCGCTGCCATGCTGCACCACGGCTGCTGTAAGGAGAAGAAGGAGGAACAAGAGAAGAAGGAGGAGAAGAACAACTCAGGAAAAAAAATATGTCTCCCAGAATTAGCAATAACTTCAGCTAAGGAAAATTTGGTAAAACTCAACAACTTGAAGCTTAATGCCTCAAGAGTTGTACTTTGTGGCCAGAAATATGGACCACCTTTTAGACTTGGAAGAAATATGCCTGATGTCCCTTGTTGGTGGCCAGGAGCCACCAACAGATGCTCCATGGACAGAGAATGGCAAGTTTTCTATCTCTTACCTAAAACAGTGGGTCATCCTGGGCTTCGAACGGGAGTTAAGAGTCTGATGTTTGGAGAATTTATGGATGTTTACACTGTCAGAATTATTTGATGCATTTGCTATGCCACTGACAGGTGTTAGTGTGGAGGTAGTTGAGCCAGTGTTCCAAGACAAAATGTTGGATTTGTTGAAACAGACAGACAGGCTTGAGATGGTTTTTGAATGGTATTACAGTTGTACTGACTTGGTTGCTGGCTGCTTTCTGGTGTGGATATAAACACTCAGCAAAGCCTGGTAAGAGAAAGCCTTTGCTGTGGTTGTAGATCTTATTCTGAGTGTGAAATGAAAGATTGATGGTATCAGATTGATCAATACTAATATGATGATCTGAGGACAAGATCCAAGACAAAAAACTTCAAATCTGAATCACATAAACAAGTCATTATTCAGGCATGAATTCCTGGCCTACACAGACATTATTATTCTATTACTATTGATGATAAGAAAAAATTAACTGGAACAGAAGGTGTTCCTAAATTTGCATAAGACAAGATGGATGGGAGGTTTGACATTTCAGGACTACAGTGAACACTGTACAGACAACGAATCATCCAATAATTAAAATAAGGCTATAGAGACAGAGGTAATATGATATTTGAATGGTCAGCAATAAAGAATTTTACAAACAGGATAGCAAATTTAGAGGAACATGCAATGCCCTTATGATTTTGAATATTTTCCAGCTATGCTGACTACTGTTGTCGCTAAAGAAATCAATATATAAAGCAAAAACAAAAAAATGACATGCCAATTATTATCAATTAGCCTTGTTTTTGTTAGCTTCTGGAGAGAAAGCTCTACTTTATGGAGAACACACATATTTGTAACTCCACTTGCAAAAGAAAAAAACATTGCCTATTCTGCAGCATCGTCAAGATTATTTGTATGCTTGAGTTTGTGGTTATAGGCATTGTATATTTTGATTGCCTTCCAATATTCCACTATGATTGATATGCCTGATAATCTACTTTTGAAAACTTCATGGATCAAACAGGAAATCTGTCTGCCATGCTTGCCTGGGGCATCTTATCAGATTGGACCACTCTGAAAGGGAGCATCAAATGGTCAAGCAGAGGGAAATGCGTGTGAGCTGTCGTCAAGGCTTCCATTCTGGTATGGCATAGTGTGGGGTCTTAGCTGAAATGTGTCAACCATGGTGATCACGCGGCATTTGAAATACCAGTGGTTATTCTCCAACAACATAATAATAAAAAAGTTACCCCACTATATGTCAAAAAAACCCCAAAAAAGACAGAAAAGTGGTGGCACTCAATAGTATTTCCAGTGGAGCCAGTATGGAGATTGTTGGGATGTAGGCTGCACTAGAGAAAGAGTGGCAGAAGTTTTTCTACATTTTTGTGCAGGATTTCAGCAGAAATTAAAATTTTAATGAAACTATCTTTGTATTTCATTATATCAGCATAATTATTTTAGTTAGCATTGTTATACACACACATATGGCTAAAACTCTATGAGTTTACTAATGTCCTTTGGTCAGAGCTTTCATTATTGACCAATTACAATGATGCTTTGAAATATAGGGTTTTCTCTAGACACATTAGAAGCATGACATGTTGTTTTTGTTATTGTTGGTGTTTTTATTGTCTCTAGTTTTCAAGCTGCACTGAAAGCATTAGCCAAAAACAAGGCTCCAGGAATTGATAGATTACCAAACTGATGTGTATCAACCAACTGATAAATCACTGGAAGCACTTGCTCAACTATGGCAGGAAATTTGGAATTCAGCTACTTAGTCAACTGACTGAAAGAAATCCATATTTGGACCCATTTCAAGGAAAGATAAGCCATTAGAATGCTCAAATTGTACCACAATAGCATTAATACAATACACAAGTAAAATTTTACCTAAGATCATTCAACAATGGTTACATTAATAAATTGACAGGGACCTGCCAGAAGTTCAGGGCCAATTCAGAAGGGAACATAGAACAAGGGATTTAATTGCTAATTTCAGGTAGAACTAGTCTGAAAACAAGATGTTAACTTGTGGTTCATTGACTATGCAAAGGCTTTTTACTGTCTAGATCATAACAAGCTATGGGTAGATTTGAGAAAAATGGGAATTGCAGAACACCCTTGGGTCCTCATGGCAAATCAGTACATGAAACAAGAGGCAGTTGTGTGACTAGAATAACACAGCACGGTTTGAAATCAGGGAAGGTGTGCCTCTGATTGTATTCTTTCACTAGACTTATTCAATCTGAATGCTGAACAAATAATCAGAGAAAGTGACTTATGTGAAGAAGATTGTGGCATTAGGATTTGAGGAAGGCTTACTAACAACCTTCTACACACAGGAGATACAACGTCACTTAGTAGAGAGGGGGATGGGAAGCTCTTGCTGATGAAGATGAAAAATTGCTAATTCCTCATGACTACACCAATAGGTAACATCATGATACACCAAGAAAAGATTGAAGTTGTTAAAGATTTCGTATTATTTGGACACATTGCACTGGGTAAATCTAATGTTATTTTGAAGAATAAGGTGTGCCTGACGCTACCCATGGTTCATATGCATGTGAAATTTGGACATTTGATTACAAAGACTAAAGAAGAATTGTGACATATGAATTGTGATGCCAGAGAAAAATCTTGAAAGTACTGTGTTCTGACAAAAGGACAAATGAATCTGTCTTGGAAGAATTATGGCCAGAATGCCCCTTAGAGGCAAGGATGGTGAAAGTTTTCATACATATTTTGAACATACTGTCAGAAGAGATTGGTCCCTAGAGAAGGGCATCATGCTAGGTGAAGTTGAGAGGCAGTGAAAAAGAGGAAGGTTCTCAAGGACGCTGACTAACACTGTGGCTACAACAATGGGCTCAAACATAGAAACAATTGTGAGGATGGCACAGGTCCCGACAGTGTTTTGTTCTATTGGGTGCTGCGGGTTAAACTGACTGAATGGCACATAAAAACAGTTTCCTTATATTTAAACTAAAATGCTGTGGAATTTATATCGGTCAACTTATGTTACCCTGTTTCCCAGAAAGTAAAACATCTTCCCAAAATAAGACCTACTTACAGTTTTGCCTCTTGCTAAAATATAAGGCATCCCTCTGATAATAAGACCTCCCCCAAAATAAGGCCCCCTGAAGCTACTGTAACTCTGGACTGTAGCAGCAGGTGCCACTGCACAGCTCACTGTTGGCTGCAGCGCAGCCAAACCAGACAGGAAGGGAAAGGTCTCTTTTAATAAAACAATAAACAATGAATGTGTACCATATTCTTCTTCATGGAAAAATAAGACATCCCCTGAAAATAAGACCTAGCACATCTTTGGGAGCAAAAATTTATATAAGACACTGTCTTATTTTTGGGGAAACGGGGTAGTTACTTTTTTGACAATGGAGTAATACTTAAAAGAATAAAAAGAGGAGAAAACTAAAAAGAAGATTTCTACTCAGTTACTAACAAAACTGTATGTAATGTATTTCAGTATATTTTGTCAAATACTTTTTAGTATTTGTGTAAGATAAAAATACTAAATTTAAGCAATTTACAACTATATTCATCACTGTTCATATATATTCTTTATAATTTAAAACTGTGCATGGCAGTTACATAATCTCTTAACTTGCGGAGGGGTGGAGTCTAGCCTGTCAATCAGGTAATAGCTAATGAAGCCTCTATGTGGGCCTGGCCTTCTCCTGAGGATTCTGGGAACTCCTGTCTTCTTCCCTGGAGGACAGACACACACTCTGTGAGATATTCCTGTTGACAACCAACATGGAGTTATGCTGATGGAGTCAGAGCCCTGGAGCTGGAGGAGCCACATGGAGACCCACACGAGGGCTGGGATGCTTCCATCACCACTGGATGCACAAGACTTTCCACCCACTGGACTGTGACCTTCCTACATTTGGCATCATTGCATGTGTTGCATGAGTCTGAAGAGGAATTAATAGAATTATCTCAGACATATGGGTTAATATCAGATTTATGGACTTAATCTGGACTGGACTGGGATGTTTTCTTAATACGTATACAATTACTTTTTATATGAAGGTCTTTTTTATAGATATATTAGTGACTATAAATTTGTTTCTCTAGTCCACCTGGACTAACACACTAGGATTGCAACTATATTTCTCTTATTATTATATAATTAGAATTTATCATAAACATTACTGCAAAGAGTTCATAATCTATTATGTGAAGAGAGTCATGGGTAGTTGTGGGGATGACAAGATGAGTTACCTCACTACATAAGATCAACCTTAGTGATGGTATTATCTATTTCCTCTATATTTAAACTTTTGTTTATTTTTATTTAAACCATAAAGCATTCACTCTTGAATATGAATTATGTCAACAGAATTTATAAAAAAGAAAATGTCAAATAATATATTAATGACTGAGTGTGTTATTGAAAATACCTTAATGTGTTTATC